AAAAAATATATATTTTAAAAAAATCACGACAACTATAATCTGCCTTTCTCCACAAAAGACACTGGAGGAGGGGGACAGACGTGGGTTGCACTGGTTTGGCTGAACTGGTAGTGGAATTCAGGCCTGGGTCGCAAAACCGGCAGAACCCTGAATCGGTTCCCTCGCTGCCGCTTGGGCGCCGCCATTTTGGATTTTAGTTTACTGTAGCGCCTGCATGAAGAACAATTTACATTGAACAGCGCACACAAGCGAACTGGCAGTAATACCGGCAGCCCACCCCTGGAGGGTGGGGTAGGAATAGAAAAATGAGATCAACAGCACATTCCATGCTACGAAATGTATGTTAATTAAATGGTTGAAAAAATGATATTAAGGCCACAGCTGTCTTAAGCAGGAGAGCTATTTAGAAATTGAAAACAAAAGGGCAAAATTCAGAAGTTGAATTCCTACACGGAACAGCAATTACACGCAACTTATTTGTTTAAACAGAAACATTTATTAGAACAGGCAAGACAAAATTAACATCATTTAAATTTCAAGCTGTTTTACGTATTTACAAATTGATCTCTAAAGTAAAAAAAAAAAAAAAACCCTCACTCTCCAAAGGGAGACATTTACAGCATCCCTCAACAGAGGTTTGTTGTTGAAGCAGAGGCCTTGCTCTAAATGAAGTTTCACATATAAAGTAAAAAACAAAGCTTCGTATTTGAAGGAAGGAAGGGAGAAGCCAAAATCCAAACAAACCCAGAAGCTCCAGTGAAGAGGCAGAAGCATCCGACAGGATCAAGGTTTAAGGAACTATATCTTGAACCCATTATATATTCTGAGAAAATCATTAGAAAAATAGAAGAAAAACTTATATACATTTTACTCAGTAAAAATATGAACAAATTATTTCATGGCTTCTTGATTATCAAAAGGTGGGTATTCCCAAAGAAACCATCATATTCTCCAACAGATTGTAACATACAACTCCAAAGAGTGCCACACTGATTCTTTGTACCCGCCGGGAGCAGAAGTACATTGAAAGGCACAACAGAAATGAGAGGAACTCAGTCGTTTCATCACTCACCACCCTTCCAGCCTTTGCAAAACAAAGCACGGGCGTGATCTGGTTAAGATCCCTCACCATCTAGAAAACTTAATAAACTTGGCAGGGTTTTTCTTAGGATGTATGCCAAGAAGAATGAGAAAATATACCCTGAGGAATTCTAGGTTTGAATGTTGTTGTTTATTTTAACAAAAAGTCAGGCACAGTTTTCATAAGGTTTGGCCTCTGCTTCAGAAATAAGGAGCATTACAGGATGTAATTATTCCTTATCATGAGTCTCTGTAACAATCAGAATTGTGTGAAACATTTGGAAGAGGTAATTTACATTACTATTGCAGAGAGAGGGAGGGGGAGGGAGGCAGGGGTGGGTTCCTGAACCAGTTAGTACTGGTATGCTGCACACGCGCTGGCCACGCATTGCTTGCGCATGCGACTAAAAATTGCTCTGCGCATGCACAGAATCATGCCGGCAACAGCAGAAGACACCAGAGAAACGCTGCTGGTTCTGCGACCCAGGCCTGAATTCTACTACAGTTCGACTGAACTGGCAGCAACCCACCTCTGGAGGGAGGGAGGGGAGGAGGGAGGAGAGGAGCTCTTCAAGGCTACCAGCTGGTTATCTGTACATGGGATGTACATTCACAGCTTTCAGATGGTCCTTTTGTGTCATCTCTACACACAAATGCAGATGAGCAGAGACATCTTTCAAAACACCCACACAAGCCTTACGAAGGCTATGGCTGTGTTAATACTTTAAAGAAAGGTTGCCTGCAGATCACCTCCCTCAAATGCCTTGCACAAACGTATTATCAAATATTAACCAGTTTCGCAAAGAGGAACGATCTACTATGAACTTATTATCAGAGAGTTAAAACATGCTTTCCCAACCTGGTGCCCACTGGCCATATTGTTTAGTCCCCTACATATAAAGGGCAGCAGACCGTGGAACACTGCAATAAGAAGTTGACAGGGAGGGTGGGGGGGAAACCTACTCATTATATTTCCATGTTAACTTTTTCTAAAGCTCTCACACTTCCTTCAGTATCACAAGAAGGCACCAATGATATAATTTCAGTAGTATATAAAATTTAAATGTGTAGCACTACCTTATGTACAATTTCTCAGAAGCAAAGTTTACTCTTTGCAATAGTGCATTGAACATTCTTTCTTAAGAGGGTGTTTTTAGGACCGTAAGTCTCAACCAACTAAAAATTCTAATTACTGTGAAGATAAACATCAATGGAACTTTACCGTATTCCCTTCCTCTCTGGGGGGGGGGGGAACCCTCTATAACATGCATATTTAACTCTACAACAGTCCAAGCTGCATGCATGAATTTGGAATTCAAACTTAGAATTCAAATTTAGAACCCCCCAACATAGTATCTGTACAACATATGTCTGAATTTGGTAAATGCTTCACACAGGTTGAAAACTCCTTTTGTACAACTTAAGTAAGATTGTTTCATTTTGTTACCCTGTAAATACACCACATAGTAAAATAGGATATGCATACTGAAAGGCAACAGATTGCAATCAGCAATTATTTGAGACAGCATCATATATACAAAGCACTTTGACCTTGCCAAATATGGCATTCATCCAGGAAAGCAGGCTTCAATACACACATCCCTTATTGGAAATCTAGCACATGTGGGTGACAGAGAACAAACAGTTCCTCCCACAACCAGTTGCTCATGTTGTGCAGGCTCTGTATGTGTGTGTGCAGATATATGTGAATGTATCAGAAAGTGACAAAAGGTGAGGATGAGCTGTTTAACAGGAAAGTCAGACACATACATCATCTTTTCTCTCCTCTACTCCCAATAAAATAATGGGCTTACAAAGTTTCACATACACATTCAAGCTGTGGCATATAAAGGATGTTCAACCAGCCTGCAGTACTGTTAAAACAATGAAGGTAATATGGAAACTGGTCCTACCAAAGTGAGTGATAATACAAATTCTGTTAATGCTTATATCTGAACTTGGCTTCTGCTTAAGCACCCTTGAAAGCATATTTATTCTACATATAAATAAAGCCACTTATAGTCTGCTTCCTCCTGTTGATAATTATCCATTCACAAACTGATAAAAACATATTTAATAAAGTATTTCTTTTTTTAAAAAAATGGCTTAATAAAAGGAATTAGAAATCCTCACCTTATCAGACTATTCTACGATCCAGTGTTTGTACACAATTCCATTAAGTACATGAGGATTAATAGAATTGATGGACATAAAAGTAGAAACCTGAAAATTGTTGTTGCAAGTTTTTACTGGCTAGGTTAAAAGTTTTACTACTTGCTGAACACTGGTGAGACATCTCTTATTTATCAACGCACTGAGTAAAAGCAGATATGGAGATGAAAAGGTGACAATAAAACATGAAAGGCAGAAATAATGTACAAAATATACAAATTTAAATAAAATACTTTGAAGACAATTGTAAAATTTTAACAATTGAAAATATTAACAAAATAGATTGCATTTTTGTTCACAATAACTTGCAAATGCACGAAAATAGTGTATTTACATAAACAGCATTGTAAGAGAATAGCCATGCGAGTCTGTAGCAGCAGGAAAGAAAAGTCTGGCAGCACTTTTTCTAACACATTTGAAAGCTTCTACCTTTTTATAAAATTGGTTAATTGAAAAAGGTGCTACCAGATTATTGATAACTGCCATTGGTTTTGGAAGGAACTGAGGAGCAAGCAATTTGTTGCTCTTGAAAAGCTGGAGTTGTAACTGGAATTAATTTGGAGATTAATTTGCATAAATCTGACTCAGTAAAACTTATTTTTATGGTAATGTTTTGATCAAGTAGAAATCGTCAATGTTGTTTTATGTTGCACATGTTTCTTCCCCACCCCATGCATTAAGGAAGCAACACTTATTCCCAATTAGATATCCTCCAGGTATGGAGAATTAAAAACTTCAGACTACTATGCCAGTTTTGAAACATGTAGTTCAAGTACATTTGAAGAGTATCTAGTTATTGAAAATCACTTTTTTTTTTTACTTCTGCACACACAGGGTTTGCAAATTTGGACTTAGGCTAATAAAAGCCTATTAAGATTTTAAAACAGGCAATTCCTGATAGTAGTAGTGACTTCCATAGATTCAAAACCACAATTATCGATAAGTCCTTTCCTTAAGAAGTTTTCCCTTAAGAAAAACTGTACATTTTCTTTGAGGGAGCTGTATATTTTGAGAAAAACTATAGAACAGGATTGTATACAAAGCGTCCAGCAGCTATACAAAATAATCCTAATATTAAAATAATAAGTTACTCATATATTTACAAAGATGAGCTCAAATATTCTTCACTCTAGCAAACTTACAGCAGCAGCATTTAGGTTTTCACCATTAGACCTCAAGCTTTTGCATGTTTCTCCATTGAGATTTCAGAACCAGGAGCAAGTGGGTTCCCTGTTTGGGGCACTTTATATTTACTGGTCCAGGGTTGTTCCCTGCTCCCTGTCTTAGTCTCTGTATACCACCATGAGCTATAAACATCTCCATAGAGACAAAAGCAGCTAGCCATAATGAGAATATCCCACAAGAAGTTCTTAGCAAGTCTTTCTCCCAGAAAACTTTTTCCCCAGGCCTAACATCTCCTGTTGTTGAATCTCAAGTGAGAGGAAAAGCAAAACTCATTCAAGTCTTGGATATGTGTCAACCTTACTCAGAACAATGTCTCGCATCCTGGTGTCATTTGGATGTAGCGGAATTCAGCTCCCCAAATTCCCTACACTATGGGAATTATGACAGTTGAAGGTGAGATTTGAGAGCCGTTATCCCAGGAAACTGCTTTCGTTAATCTGTGATTTTTTTCCCCACTAGTGATGTATGTGTGAAAAACTTTTTAAAATATTCCTTCACGTGTGACAGAATTTCCCTCCAAAATCATTTCCTTAAATGCCACATCAGAAAAGGAACAGCTTTTTACTGTATGCGTGTATCTATCATACAGAACCAAACATGATATCCAGTGTTTAAGGCTTTTTCTAATACTATTTTCCCTAGTACAGGTAGCCCTTAACTTGCAACCATTCATTTAATTAATGACTGTTCAAATTCATGGCACTGAAGTAATTTATGACTTGTCCTCGAATTTACAACTGTTGCCCAGTCATGTTATCACGATTTGAGCGTTTGAAGACAGTTGCAGCGTTCTGTGGTCACATGGTCACAATTTCCAATCTTCCCAACCAGCTTCTGACAAGTGAAGTCAATAGGGGCAGACGAATTTGCTTAATGACTGCATAACTCATTTAACAACCAAGTAAAATGGTTATGAAATCTTGATCCAGTCACATGCTGACTTTTTTTAATGATCGCATCTGTTGGTGGCTGAAATTCCAGTCCCAATTGTGGTCATTAACTCAAGGTCCATCAATAAGTTTAAAAATGAATTGGACTAAACAATGCAATTCAACCACACTAAGTTATATTGTACGGATTTACTGTCCTTTGGAAATGCAATTGCCAAATTGAGAATCACATTCTTCAGGCTGCTTTCAGTTTTATCAACTGCCTACACACAGAATGGATTTATCTACTTAAGAAGAACAAAAGGGGGAAAAATAAGTCACTTCCAAAAATTACTTAGGGAGCCTTCTCAAATTAAATTTTAATGACTAAGTAATTTGACTTTTATAGAAAATCTGACAGCATCTTTCTAGGCCATTTTCAAAGACAGTGATGCAGTAGGGCAGGCATGTTCAACCTGTGGCCTGCAGCCTGCATGTTTCCCTGGACAGCTAGTAATGCGACAAGATCACAAGATCATAAACTTTTAATATTTGTATATACTAACTATATAATATATTGGATATGCAGCCCAAGGAAAATCATCTTCACTCATTACGGCCCTGGCAAGCCAAAAGCTTGGATGTCCATGTAATAGGGTGTCATTTAATAATAAGTAAAAGGTTGGAATCAGCATGGATGATATGAAATGTGACCATACAGAAGAGATTTCTGCAAAGGACTTTTGTCATGTATGAAACAATCCACATAGGTTGATTCAGCTAAGAATGAAGAGTTCAAAACAAGCTCCATCTCACTCCTCACAGACTCTAAAACAAGGTTTCATATGACCTGATGGGATTCCATCCAGAAGAACCCAAAACACAAAGTTTTAGGTATTTTCAAGTCACATATAAATTTTCATCTGAAAGGAACATTTTCTAACAAGCCCTGAGGGCTTCCCAAATCACCTTGAGCAGACCAATTTACTTGAGGAAGGTCTGGCCGATTCAAACTAAATTGTGCATTTCTCAATTGTTCAACGCTGAAGCCCTTTAAAAAGAACACCTTCATCATTGTAATTGTAGCCTTCACAGACTTTTGTGATGGCAAGAGGAAGTTGCTGAAGTATCAAATACAATAAACTGTCTTGTTATTGGTCCAGTTGAGTCAACACTGTCTGCAGAAGCTCCTTTCCAACCTTCCGGACAGGTAGATGTAACCACTAAAATGCTCAGCAATCACCATGGTGATGGGAAAACCTTAAGTCAAAAGCTCGACTCAAGCACTAGGGTGCAACCTGGACAAAACATAGGGAGCGCCATAAATAAATACCCCCCCCCCCTTCTAAATTTCCTCACACAAAATAAGCACAGTCTCTCTATTAAAATGAATTCCCTTTCTTCTAAGTGCTATTCTTTTCCACATAGCTTGGCCAAATACAACACATCAAGGGGCTAGACATAAACACCACGAACAAGTAATAATAAATTCAAGCCTCTGAGGTTTAACAGTGTAAAAGAAAAAAGTACAATAATCATCTACACTATTTACTAGAACATCAAACCAGCAAGCATCAATATTATTTGACCGGTGTACAGACTTTTAACCCTCCCTTTGGAAAAACCAGATTTTTAGAAGGAGGTGATTCTCCCTCTGCATAGATGCTTTTATGATTTCCCCTGTCCCATCTGGGGCAAACAGAGGAAATAACAGAGTTTGAATTTTAAATCTGATGGAACTATTTGAAAATGTCAGCCCTAACAGGATAAGGTGAGAACCTTGTATTCTACAGTCCCAAATATCCCGCAGGCAAAAACCTAATGTTGGCTCCTACTCTGTACCAGAAAAGCTGCGTTTGTCACACCTCTCCTTCAATAAAATATTAATTTTAAATATATTATTTCAAACATAACAGTAAAAACAATGCTTGAGTTTGACCTATGAACCCTGTGTTCAATTTCATCTTTGAGGGGTCCTTGGTGCTCTCTGAGCTGGCTTGTCTCCTTGTGGGTGTTTCATTAACCAAACTGAGTAACATAGACTAGACCAGCACTGGTGATGTTACCTAGTTTGGGTAAGGAAAGAAAACAAGCAAGCTCAGAGATCACCAAGGACCCTACATGTCAACCCTGAGCTACAAATATTCTCCTTTATTAATTCCATCTTTATGACAGGAAACTGTTGTCTTTTCTCAGTCACAGGGCGTATCGGTGATTTACCGCACAATATTATCTTAAAATACAAGCATGGCAGAGGCTGCCTTTGACCGGGACTGTCTGAGCTGAAATGTGAATAACATCCCAAGCGAGCAATTGTCCTTGGTTTGGCAGGGCTGCATACTTGAAAGTCATACTTTCTACACAGCAGTTCTACCATAAGCAACAGACTCTGCCTCATAGCTACACAGCTGTGTGAAGCACAGGAGAGGAATTCAGCTAGCAGGTTGTACAGAAGCCTCCAAGGGCTGCAGGAAGCCTGGTTTGTCCATCTTTTGCTAAAGGAGATGGCTGTAACATTGGATGCTAAAACTCAGGCATCACCCCTCTTTAAATATGTAAAGCACAATGTTTAAATAGCACCACTCCTTTTTGTTGTTGTTTCATTCCAGTCTTGGGAAGTGGGTACAGTTTATAAACATGTAAGAGAGTTTATGTATGGTTTGGTTTGGGTTTGCTTAAGTTTAGTTCTGGTGATTTTGGAGAAATGTTGTAAAGTGTGCTCCAATCCAGTAGCCAGGAATTGATTCACAAGATTGAGAATCTTATTCCCACAGTAACATTGGAAGTAAACTTCTACCCTGAAAGGCAATTTCTATTCAAAGGGTAAAGAAGAGAAATAGCTGTCAGCACGAAGTAACAGTGTTGTTGGGAGTGCATCCGAGTCTGGGTATTTGTTTTCCTTGTGATCCCTCCCAGCTGCATCCCCATGTTAAAGGGGACATGAGAGCCCGCCTGATATTCTACCAATAAAAAAAGTTCTTTCAGAATTTGGGAGAGAAAAGTATCCTGCTGTGCGGTAATAGTGATATCAATAACCTCCCGAGTAAGAAGGCCGTCATTTACAAGTATCCATATTGTTATCCATACTTCTTTCTTGAAACGTTGGTGCTGAATAAATTGCCTCTACACTGTGCCATATGCCGTAGCCAAAATATATCGCCAGGCCTGAAGAAAAGAGGAAAGTGGAGTAGCGTTAGGTAACATGTGAGGCAGCACACAGGATGTATCAGTTTAGGAATCTCTAGCTATAAGGAATACAATACAAAATGAGATGAGGCTCTTGTGCAGGAGTGCCAAACTCAGGGTGCTTAGATCTGGAAATAGCAAAGGATCTGCCTCCCCTAGCAAAAATGTGGTGCCTGTTCTCAGCCTGGACAGCCTCCTGCAGCACACTGCTGGCCAAAGCAGGGGGCAGGGGGGCTGGCCACGGTCCCCGTGCACCCCGTTTTGCTGGCAGGGTGCTGCAGAAGGCCTCCGTCCTGTCTGCCATCCGTCCTACCCCCCCCCCCCGCTGCCCCACACAGGACAACTATGATGCTGATCCGGTCCTTGAAGAAATCCAGTTTGACACCCCTGGTCTTGTAGAACATCCAAGGACTTAAGTATATACTTCTAAAGTGCAGTGTAGTATGGTCAAGGGGGACTGAGGAGTTTTTCCAGTGACTAGTCTATCTCTGAATTGAGAAACAAGTCAGAGATATTTTGCAGAGGGCTTTCTACCAAAAAAATAGGGAACTGTATTTTAATTCTGCATAGATCAGATCTTGCCATGTTTCTCACTTGCTTTCAATATTTACAAGCTTAATTGTCATAACATAGCTTGCATGGGCCTATTCCTGGAGATGATTTAAAAGATTTAATCAAAGTAATTAAAGCCTACTCCCTAGTCTTAATGTCTGTGAATCTGCGTTTGTTTTGTTTTAGACAAAACCTACAACACAGTCAACGGTTTCATACCAGCTGCCTGGGTTGACATGGTTATTAAAATGTTTGGTTTTAATCTTTTTTTAATGCCTGAGACTCTCATACTATATTAAAGACAACTCAGTTGTAGCTTTAAGGCTTCTGACCACAAGAGTAAAGAATCTGAATTCCACTTCAACCTTCAAAATTGTCTTGTATTCACTAATCTGCCTATACGAATGAGAATGCCATCATATCACACGGTTGAAATTTACCTATGACCATCCAGATGGCAAATCGTATCCAGGTGCCACTATCCAGCTGCATCATGAGATAAACATTCACAAAGATGCTCAGAATGGGAAGGACAGGGAGAAAAGGGACCTACAAAACAAAGGCAAAATTGTGGTTACATTTAGGAATATGGGATATACCAGTTCACATATCTACCTTCTCCTGAGATCAATAATTTGATTCTATATAATATTGTGAATGTACGCAAGGCAGCAAATTCTTGCAGATTATTCTAAGTACAGCTCTAATTGGATAAGTCAATAAGATGCTGCAAGACTTCTCTGGAACAAGAAACTATTGACAATACATTTTAAAAGATGTCATGCTTACTGGCTTTCATCTAGGTTAGGGATGTCAAACCTGCATCATCACGGTATCATCGCATGATGTATCGTGACTTTTCCCCCCTTCGCTAAACCAGGCGAGGGTATGGCTAGCGCATGACGCATCCAGCCTGCAGGCTTCAAGTTTGACAGCCCTGATCTAGGTGTTTAAAATTATAAACATTGGAGATGCAATTATACAAGTGTAGATTTGTCCATACACACAAGTTTTAGACAAATATTTTTTAAAAAAATTAAATCCTTTCTATTCTACACAGTATATGGTCACATTTCAGAGATGGTGTTTTAGGGGATATTCTTGATAGTGGTTCAATGTGGCAAAACAGGAAGGTACCTAGACAAATTGTATGGAAACAACAGAAACTTTCCTTTGTTATCATACAATGACATGAATGAGGATCTTCGTCGGCAGATTTAGCATGAAAGCATATTTTGTTAGGATTGAAAATCTGTTATGGTAATATGATAAAGAGTTTCCATGAGAAAGTTGACTTTAAATATTGTTACTGAATGTTATCCTGTTTCGTGTACATTTTCTGATATTTATGTTGTAGTAATACCCTGTTTCCCTGAAAATAAGACCTCCCTGGATAATAAGCCCAATCGGGCTTTTGAGCATATGCGCTAAAATAAGTCCTCCCCAAAAATATTGCAACATAGCAGCAGCCATGAGGTGACCACGCTTGCCATCTCCCACACCTCAAAAATAATAAGACTTCCCCGAAAATAAGGCCAAGCACTTATTTTGGGGGTCAAAAGAAAATAAGACCCTGTCTTATTTTTGGAGAAACACAGTAATTCTACAGAAGCTGGTCCTACCACATTCCTTTCAATGTCTACTGTATTCACCACTGTGTGCCTTATACACTTGTAATCCCTTGATCTCCAATGGATGTAAATACAAACACTACTTCCTTTGTTGCTAATTATCCCAGGGTTGGAATAAGCATTTGAAAGGGTGGGGGGGAGTGGGAGAAATGAAAGCACAGTCATGCTCATATGATTTCTCCCTTGGCAATCAGTTCCCTTAATGACACCTGTCAGTCCCAATTGTGGTCACTAAATGAGGGCTACCCTAACTTATAATTGCAACTCTCAATTTATTAGAATGAGTTGACACACGGAAACAGAACTATATAATGCCTATACTCCAACACAGATGTTATAATACATAATTAAGGTTTGCATATCATGTAGGCATGCTGAATACAAACCCCCATTTTTATCATGAGTTTGTGCATACAATGTAAACATTTGGGGATACACACAATTTCTGCTATGCGAGGTGGGGAATGTACACCCACGAGTTATTGCATAACTACAACCCAGCAAACCCAGTTCTCAGATTTTCATACTGAATGCTGAAAGTTGCAACATCTGAAAAGTCACCAACCGCTTGCCCAACTTTTGGCATGCCTTCCTTCTTCTGCGTTATGTATGTACCATATTTTTCAGAGTATAAGATGCATTGAAGTATAAGACGCACCAAGGTTTTCAAGAGGCAAATTAAAACATAAGTTTTTGCACTCTGCAAACCTCCCCAAAACGGCCTGTTTTTCGCAAAAATGTGCCCCCCTTTTTAAAAGGGGGAATAAATAGCCCTTAGGAGGCTAGTAGAGTGTTCGGGGGGGGGGGGGTTTGAGCAAAAAATGACCCATTTTTTGCTCATTCCCGCCCGGTTCCACCACAAATCTGTGGTAGACTAAAGCGCGCTCAACGAAAGCGCGTACGTGACGTCATCACAGCATGACGAAAACGGCACGCTGTGAGCGGTAAATTTAAAATTAACGTGAAAACCTTACCCTAACCCCCCCAAACCTAACCCTAAACCTAACCCTAAGCCTAACCCTAAGCCTAACCCTTAACCTAACGCTAACCCTTAACCTAACCCTAAACCTAACCCTAAGCCTAACCCTAAGCCTAACCCTTAACCTAACGCTAACCCTTAACCTA